CTTTTCTTTTAGAATTTCATAATGAACATGGTTGCCAAGATTGGTTTTATTTTAAAATGCTTTGAAAAAGTAATATCTCTCCATCAAGGAAGCCAATAAAACGGTCTCGTTATACCGAAAAATTCATAATAAAGAGATTAAAAGTAGATCAATATTGCAGCTATCGGGGAGGGACCTAAGAAATACTTTGTCGCACTAAATTATCCGTTAAAAACGAGATTCGTCGCAAGCACTCGAAAATATGCGGTCGAGTGGAAATATTAAAACCGTCGCATTTTGATTTTGCGCACGAAAAAAACGAAAACCAAAATTCTACCAATCTTTGAACAGGTGAACTGAATTCTCTGGAATCCTGCTGGGATAGACTGAGAAGGAAATTGGTTCTGCGCGTATAGATTCTCCCTCATTTCCATACTGTTGAAAAATCGTAATTTTTTCGTATACAGTAATAAGTAGAAATTAAACCAATACAGTACGACATTTCTGCTTGAGCAGGTCGAAACACACGCAGTACTCTGGCTAAATTCGTAATATTGTACTGTATTTCGCGCAAAAAGCCGACCTCCATTACAAACAGTAGAATCTCTTCAACACGTCGCATTTGGACCCTGAGGAAGCTTCGTTTTGAACCAAAATTCGTTAAGACGGAATAAGAGCAACATCGTGGCTATTCAACAAAGACAGAAACAGCAAATGTTTTTGAAGCATTAATTTATTAAAATGTGCATAATCATAATTCAGCCTGATTTTGAATCACATGTATCCCGAGAAATAAACCGTGACAATAATTTCATTGCCCCAGCGAAAATTCGGGATTTTTATTTCTGTTGCAAGCACTAAAAAAGTAACCACTCAACGGCATTCAAATGGTACAGAGTGCGGCTTGCTATTGATCGTTCGAACGGTGAGAAATATACCAGGGGTTCAACAAAAGTTTCCGGGACAAAAATCGGAACAGTGCGTGATTGTACTGAAAAGCAATTACTGTTATTAAAAAAACATTCTTTGGCACAAGAAAAATTTCAGCCCTATTTGACATATTTATCAGAAAAATCTTGCAAAAGTTACCCTGGCAGCTTTCTGCTTTTCACTCGAAAGATGTGGACGCCCATCTCGCGGAATTTCCGGCGTGGCTGAGCTTTCCCTTGAGGGTTCTTGAAATTGACATGAAATTACAGTACTATAATTCCCAGGGTTTCTGGAATTAATTGATCATCAATTCCGTCATTTCCTTCAACAGCCACCACTTGGGATGAGAATGTGGCGGCCGGTAATGAAAATGGCAGAATTACCTCGGAAGACCCGTAGGCAACCCTTAGAATTAATGCCATGTAAATTGATCATCAATTCCGTCATTTCCTTCAACAGCCACCACTTGGGATGAGAATGTGGCGGCCGGTAATGAAAATGGCAGAATTACCTCGGAAAACCCGTAGGCAACCCTTGGAATTAATGCCATGTAGACATCAAAAACTCTTTAGGGGAAGCTGGGCTACACCAAACAATCTGCGAAATGGGAGCTTCATCCTTCCAGTGAAGGACATAAACCTGCCAGGGTGACTCTTGAAAACAAACTACAGTACAAAAAATACATCAAACAGATCTGCATTTATCTTCTTGTGTCAAACAAGGCTTTTTTCCGAAAGTTATCTGTTTCTCAGCTTAATAACACGCTATTTCGATCGCATTCAAAAAACATTTGTCAGAACCCTCCAAAATAATGACTGCATGACCCTACTCACCGTTTGAGTATAGTGTGTGTACGGAGTATGCGGCGTATGCGGATAGTGAGGCGTGTGCGGCGTCTGGCCACCCTGGGCCACCTTCGTCAGGGCACTGTAGATGTGCGCCGGAATGTTCTGAGCAGCCTGTCGAATCGCATCCCTGCTCACGCCTAACAAAACAAAAAGCAACACCAAATACAAAAATTAAATAAAATCTCTCACTCGACAATCCACATCAGTACAGAACAAACCAAACAAAAGCCGCCCAAAAGTAATATACTGTACATACTCGCGAGAGAGAAGGCACCTGGCGTGCGGACCGACTGCGCCACCGAAGGTACTCCGGGTGTGTTCGGCACTGGCTCTCGGTGGTGCTCCTTGAACCACTTGAGCATCGCATTCAATGAGTCAAAACTCTGCTTCCTGTATCGGAAACCTTCCGGCGTCACCGACACAAACTCGTGACGTGCCTTCAATCTCGGCTGATACGACAACATGAATCTCCCCGGCGTTCCCTAAAAAATGCGATCAATCGATCAGCCCCATTTCTCCGCGATTCATGGAAAAAAGACATAGTCTAGGCCACACGTCCTAGAGATAATTTTGGAACAGTAAAATCTCGCTACAACAAACTTTTGGGGACTTCAGAAAACTTTTTGTCGTACACTACTGAATGATTGGTTATCACGAAACTTTCAAAATTGACGACAGCATAAATTGTTTATATCAGACCTGCCTAAAATTAACTAGATCTCGATTTCCTGGAGGTCTCCGATTTTTTATAATGGTTTGAAAAATTGATTTATCCTCAGAAAAAAAGTAGCTTCATTCATGCATTCCATCAGTTGCACCGATCTGTTCATTCCGGGAAGATTATGTGCGTTGGAAGCATGTTTTTTATTGATTAAAGCTTTTAAACGCGTTCAAAAAAAAACCAAATCAGTCTTATTTGGGATCAAAAATCCAGACTGTGCTCGCATTTGTCAGGAAATTTCCACCAGGAAATTCAATTCAACATAACCCAAAAAAGTTTGTTATACCGAAATGTCTTAACATGTACTCCAGAGGCTTTCTGCCGGGACATGGGAAAAAGTTTGTTACACTGAAAAGATTATTCGAATGGTACTATTTTAAATGGTTTGAGATTTTCCTGAAGAGGAGGTGTGAAACGATCAACAGATGTCGCACACGAAGAACCGTAAGCTTGATTCACACGTTTTAATGAGAGACTCGAGATAAAACTAGGGTTTCGAAATGAGATTGAAAGGAAATAAATACTGGCACACACTCTCTCTACAACGACTTTCTCAACATAACGGATTTGTTTCTCGGTCCCACAGAGTTCTCTTCCCGTAATATAGGCGTTCTCCACAAGGAATTTTGTTTTTCTGCTCCTTCGAATTTCTTTGCACGGAGTCCACCTGTATGACTGAAAGTAGAGGAAAAGAAAAACAAAACAACTCACGTGAGCTTGAGCCACAACAGACAAAATGTAGGGAATCTTGTTCGGAGCTTTCCTCTTCTCTTCTCGCAAGATGTCCTCGGCCAATTCTCGGTTCCCACCTTCAGTGTCCCGATAGTACTTGTAGCTAAGAATGTCTCGGGCATGTGCAGCCATCGGCGCCACGTAACGGGCCACAATTTCATCCAAGTCTTCAAACTCTTCAGTGCCGATCCACAAGGACTTGCCCAAACTGAAGGCATTCTCCTTGTCCTTCTCTTTCACGTCAATGTGCTGATGCACCCCATCAGTGACCTGCACGGACGACGAAAAAGGACAATCGATAAGAATAGGCGGAGGGGGAAAACAAAGATGCCATCTGGTGCGGATGAAATGGCTGGTTCCTCATTATAAGAGTATGCAATGAAAGGTGGATCTTTCAAGTGAAATAAAAAAAAAACGAATTGAAACACGTACGATAATCAGTCTGGGAAAATGCCAAAAACCCCTAGGGATTCCTAATTTATAAAAATTTGACAAACTGTATCGTCAATCTTCTCCAAGTCAAACTTTGAGGGGCAGCAAAAATGTCTGAGTCGAGGTCAAGCATTTTTGAATGGGGATGAAGAAAGAAGAATTACCAAAAATTGTAATTGGTGATATTCTGGGCCTCAAATTGCTTCTTTGATGAGTTTACAGGATGCTGAAATTGGAGACAGGGGTTCATTTGCTCAATTAGTCTTTCACTTTCATTAAAAACATATCAAATCTTATTTTTATTGCGTTTCTCTTTCCTGTATCAAAAAAATAGACAACAGGGCTGCAATAAATTCGAATTATGTAAATACTGTATGTGGTGAAAGCATTCCAGTTGCGAGAATTTTTCAGTGAATTCTTTCTTTAGGAACTGCACGACAGGGACTTGGAACAAATTTTCCACAGGGAGATTTGAATCAAGGTTCAACTGTAATGTACACAGTACTTATTTGTACTAACAAGGATTCTTTTTGAAACGCAGACAAGAGAAATAATAAAACCGAGCGAACACTCGAGATACCCTCTTCACAGGATGATTTGATCAACACATACTGTATACCGAATGCACACACACCTGATATGAAATATTGTATTAGTGAAGGTTTTTTTTGAACATAAATTCTTCTGTTAAATCTAGTACTGGCAAATTATTGTGCGATGTTCCGAGCTCTCCGATTGGCATAGAGATGGAAATGGAAGACGTCACAAAAATAAGAATGGTAGTGCCATTTTGAAAACCGAGAAACTCAAGTATCCCCCAATTTTTTCCCTGTATTTACTCAAGTACTATGCGCTCTCAAGTAGGACTACTGGTGTTTTTTATAAGCATTAATTCGTTAAAATGAAAATATATTGCGCATCATCGAGCCTGCTTTCAGGTCACGTGTGTCCCGAGAAATAAACCGTGACAATAATTTCATTGCCCCAGCGAAAATTCGGGATTTTTTTCTGTCGCAAGCACTAAAAAAGTAACCACTCGACTGAATTCAAATGGTACAGAGTGCGGCTTGCTATGGGTCGCTCGAACGGTGAGAGATATATCAGGGGTTCAACAACAGTTTTCATGATAGAAATTAAAACAGCACGTGATTGATGAACTGAAAAACGATCATTTTTCAGAAAAAAAAAAAAACATTCTTTGGCACAATAAACAATTCAGCCCTGTTTGACATATTTTTCACAGAAGTGTTGCAGAAGTTACCCTTGCAGCTTCCCGCCTTTCTCTCAAAAGATGAGGCGCCCATCTCATAGATTTTTTGGCATAGCCCAGCTTTCTCTTTCGAATTCCCAAAGTTTACTTGGCATTGATTCAAAGGACTGCCGCCATTTGCTTCAAAAGCCGCCGCTTCGGATGAGAATGCGGCGTCTGTGACGGCGGCTCTTGAAGAAAAAAGCCCTTTGAAATTCCAATGGTTAACCATTGGAATTAATGCCACGTTCATTTCAAAAATTCTGAATGAGAAGCTGGACAACACCGAAATTCTGCAAGAACGGCGCCTCATCTTCTGATTGAAGAGCACTCAAGGTGGGTAACATCGACTCTTGCCATAAATAAATTACATAAGAAACATGTTAAAACAGGTCTAATTTTTTCCCTGTCGGTCATGCCATTGATTGCATTTCTGAAGAATAATTATTTTTAAGCTCCATTATACCATACCGGATTTACTCGAGGAACACGTCACTTGAAGTAAGACACGCACCAGGGGTATTCAGTTGAAAATTTGGATAAAATCATATCCCCGAGTAAGATATGCAGCCCATTCTTAGATACGAACACCACAATGTAAAATTTAAGAAGCCAAAGTTCGATTTGGACATGAATTAAACGGGAATTCGACTAAATATCAATTGCTTTTTCCATTAAAATAAGTTTTTCTGTTGAACTTGGTCTAAAATTCGAATTTGGAATCAATTACAATGCACAACTAAGTTTCTAAAATAATTTGACAATTGTATACCCACATATGACTCGCCCCCCCCCCTTTCCTTCCCTTTTGTGAATGAAAAAAAGGTGTGTGTCAAGTGAAACTCAAGTAAATACGGTATTTCATAATTTGATGCCATTTGCCTCAATGCGCGAGGTGCAGCGTTGTTGCCGCTCAACACCAGTTTCTCAGTTCTCACCTTCCACGTGACAGTGAGATGATCAGAGCCCTGACTGGAAGGACGAATCACAACATCCCCTTGCTGCTTGTTCTTCATGAGAGTCTCGGCTCCCGCGTAGTCGACATTGAGGAAGTTTGGGTGGACAATCACACGCGTCGTGTAGGCGTGTTTGCGTCGGTGAGCCGCCTTTCTTTGTGACTCGTCTCGGTGACGGTCTGCTCGTTCTTGTTCGTAGTCATAGTACTTGTCCTTTTGCGGACGCCACGTTTCCGACAGATCTTGCAGGTCCGACGACCTGCACGTGCACTCCACGCTGATTTTGTCCACAAGGATTTTCGTGATTCTGACCTTTAAAAACACACACAACTTTGAGTATACAGTACACATACAATACAGTATATCTTCCAATAGATGCCGCGTTTTTTAATAAACGCAAGGGCTCAGACAAGGTCAAAAAACGGGGGGTAACAGTGTAAAACAAAGGTTTTTTGTCTTTTTTCCATCAAGACCAACAAAAAAAAATTAGCAGTATAGTCTCTCTCACTTCATACAAAGTTCCTTGACTGAAACTTACAGATTCTGCTGAGGAAGATGTGTGAAAGGATTAATATGAGTGACAGTTCAAGGAATGAAAATGAGTGATCTACTCTTTGAAGTGTTCCCCTTTTTAGCCAACCACATCCCTCTGAACCAAATTTTGTAAAAGGCAAATCTTCCATAACATGATTCATCATTCAACGTTTAAACTTTGCTACACAAAGCTTTTTGTATAATTTTTAAAAATTAAGGCTGTATGGCAGAATTGGAATTACAAAAAGTCAGTTGCCAAAAGCCTTGTAGAAAATCATACACAACACATTGATGGAACAGGGTATATGAGTGGGTGGAAGAGTACTGTAGTAGCATTTTTTGTTCATTGGATTTTATTGTAATCAGAAAATGTGGGAAAATTTGCTGGCCATTTGTAGAGGATGTACAGTACAATTAGGATTCCTAGGTCCAATCCATGACAATATCTGAAGGATGAGACAAAGAAGACTTTCTTACGTCTCTTCATGATTTCATCTTCAACGGATTTCTCGGTAGAATGATTTTTTGGGTAGAATTATATGTTTTGGCCTCATGGGGTTCTGTGCCCATTGTTGCAGTGGTTCTCTACAATAATTTTTATTAGTTCACTGAATTTTATTGTAGATTCAACCTCAATGAAGTAAAGTAGTTTGACTCTTGTTCAAAAGTGACATAATACCACACTGATGCTTTATTTTTTGAACCACAACACTGAGCCTTTATTTTTTAATCATGTACGCTCTGATTTGAGACTTTTGCAGTGAAATTATTTGACCAGTATTCATACAAAATTGTATTGCAATGATCGCCAATTTTATTTTTCTTAAATAATGGCCGGTCTCCTGTAAACGCCGGGGGGGGGGGGGCAGTTTTTCGAATAGACGACGGAGGCGTCTATTCGAAGATATACAATACGGTAAATAGTACAGTAGAATCTCGTTCATGACGAATAGTCGCTTACTAGCAATTCCTTTTTGTATTACGTTCTTAGTCAATTAGCCGAAATGTTCATAAAGTTTCTTTCTAACGAGATTGTCGGTATAACGAAGCTATTTAACTTGTCCCCATGGCTTCGTTGTAAAGAGATTCAACTTTACATGCAAGTACCACACGCACCTTTTTTTTCTCAAAATTAAGAGGAGAAAAGAGGGTGCATTACACAGGTGGGTATCAAACTGTACATATTGAATTTTCAAATTTTAAAAATTAAGGTGCACACCACTATGATTGTACCAGGAAATTCCAAAAAATTCTGAGAACGTATTTGTAAAAAGTGAAGCAAAAAGTATTCAATTTGGGTCCAATCCAAGTTAATAATTAAAATTCAGACGGATTTTCTTTCCAAGATACTGCAGCGCTTTCGTCCCTAAAAATGGGGTGCGTGTCTTGCTTGGTGATAAGGTTTAGTTGAAGATAGCTTTCATCCACATTTTAGGATGAGAAAACCAGGTACTCCAGTAAATATTGTACAGTAAATTTGTCACAATGAAATGTTCAAACAAATAATGGCTTCCAACGAAGTCATGTTCAGGTCCCTGCACAATAGCCATATTGTGGTATGGGATATTTTTGA